CCAAACTAACAATGCAACAAAAGAAGCGTGATGAAAACTAGAGTGATGCTGTGAATGGCTTACAGAACCATCACCATCGAAAGCACAAAATACACACAGAACATAACCTACACACCCTTAACCCTGCACCCCTGCAAATCCTTAACCCCGGAAGCCCACAAAAACTCTGGACCCTAAAACATCAACCCTAAACCCTAAAACCTAAACCCTGAAAAGCCTAAACCATGCCGCCCTATCACCTTCTTTCTCCAAGTCGGCCCTCAATGCCGTTGTCATGGAGGCCGCATCCGAAACCGTCATGAGGAGCAGAAGGTCCGCCTTTTCTGTATATTTTTCGACCTACTGTACTGTGTCATGTTACACTATGTTTATTATGACTTCGATTTTGTGACAGGTGCTGAATATCGTGGCATGTGCCATGGCATGTTGTATTATGTTGTGCTATATTATGTTCTGCTATGCTGTATTATGCTGTGTTATTGTCTATCATGTGCTATTATTGTGATATTATTGCTGTATTAAGTTGTCCTGTGCTAAGGTATGCGATATTACGCTATATTATGCTGTGTCATATGATGTTGCTCTATGTTATACTATGTCGTGCGTTGCTTCAGTATGCTATATCACGGTCCATCATGATAACGAATGTTTTATATGTTTTGTTCGTGACAGGACGCATTACTTTACACGCTGTATTATGGGATATCTAATCTTTTCATGCTATGGTATATATAGCCAATGAACATTATGGGGTATCTTTCTTACTACTATATATTATGACATGTTATACTACGATGTATTAGGCTATTCTGCGTGAAAATGTTATTCTGTGTTCTTGTGCTGTATTACCTTGAAGCATGTTTGATTATGTCATGGTATGTTACATTGCGTCATGTTACGGTATGCTATGTGATATATCGAATGTTATTCTGTATTTTGCACACTATGATACATCATGACATGTTATCTTGTGTTGTGTTCTGTTATGGTTTGTGAAGATATGCTATACTATGTTGTAACATGATTCACTGCGTTGCAATATGCTTTATTCGGTATATTGTTTTACTATATCATATCATTCTACTGCGCGCTCCAATATATGTTTGATACATTTGATGTCTTCACATAAGAAATATCCCCACATAATATTATACCATAATATCATAATCGGCTGTTTTTCACATTAACATCCTTTGTTTCTTATCTTATACACTGTGCCTGGGCATATTTTTTACGTATTTTGTTCCTGTGAAACTATACTGTTTGTGTGTTCCTCCAAAAACTATTCCGTTTTTTTATGTTACGGTATGGTAGTGCGAATATGTTTTATGATATTTTTATAAATTTGATAATGTTGAAAGACATTGTACTGTAGTAAGGTGCGCAGCTTTACGGTTTACGTCGTGAGCTTTAACAAGGCTTTCATAAAGATTCACGCAGAGGTTTAGGCTTTGGGACCGTTCAGAGCTTCACATGTTTAGCGAGAGTTTCGAGACTGGGCTCTGGAAAGAGCAAGGTTTCCATGTCGATGTGATACCCGTGCCAGACCTTCAGTTGCCGTGCAGTAGAGCATCATGGCGGCTCTATTAAAAGCCTAGCCCGTCTTTGATGGGGGAAAGGTGGCGAAAGGCACAGGAAGACGGGCAGCAGGGTTCATGAGGCAACAGCAACGGTGTAACTCACTTGGGTCGCAGGCGGCACCTGGTTTGCAGAAAGCGCAGCTGCTTTGGCAGAGTCCAGATACTGCAGCAGATTGGGTGCGAACTTCCCCACGTACGAGAAGATCAGCGCGTACCTTTGCCCAAAAGCTTCACAGGGGAAGAGGCTCTCTCCGGGTCGTGGCGAGGACACTCAACATATCGACTCCCAGTATGGGCTTCCACCCAAGCCCACTTCTTCCATGCCTCCTACCTCCCAAGACCGTCAAATTCGCTTTGTGCCAGCTTCACCTCACAAACTTACTCGGACTTTGAAATGCCCGGGCATAGCAGCAACGGCTCCGCCAGTAGGATTCAGTCTGGGGTCGGTTTAGGGCCGGTTCAGGGTTCCCACAAAGCATGCGCCTCCCAGTGGGCGGCGCCGCTGCGGCACAGGCCTGCACTTTTAAAGGCTGTCTGGTCTGTTGGCCCCACATATCTTCTGAGAACTGCCCGCGACGAAGCGACCCCTGCCAACATAATGGATACAGACTACTCCTACTAACAGGAAAGCAGTGCTGAAAAACGTCATGACATCTACCGAGAGACGAGCAAAATCAACCGCGGACACTCTCTGGAAAAGTGATCATAACATGCATTAGCAACACTAGCTGCGCTCCCACGACAATAAACAACAGTAACAGCAGCAGCAACAGCAACAACAATAGTAACGTTGTTGCAGTCAGCTAGAAGCATTGAACACTCTCCGAAGCATGAGAACACAAATCTCAAAGAATTTGTCCAGAATTTGGTCGACGGCCACAATCTTACAAGTATCACTCCAGTAAGCGTACCGATACATCTCTTCCGGGTCTTTCTCAAGCCTGCTCATTTGGTACCATCTTTCAGTGTGAAGACCTGTTTCCGGCACCTGCAACACCCCATCACGATCATCCATGCACCGAGTGCTGCGCTGCCAACCCTCCAACCCACCCCCCCCACCCGCCCCAATCCCCTTTACCTATATTGGATTATATTGTAGCGCACTCAGAGTTCGGCATCAACAATTAAAGCCTGCTCACACTTGCTCACAAGCATTCATACAATGCACGTTCACTGTTCTCTGCAGTCGTGCATGCGGATCATATTCACTCAGATTCTTTCATGGGTTCTACCCATCCATTCTCAGTGAGATGAGATCGTGTTCATACGTGGTTCAAGCCCTTCAAACCCGTTCAAGCTCCGTCGAACTCTCTCTGTTCGTCTGTGTCCTCCGGAGGTCTTTCCTGGTTCCAGTTCCGGTCTTTCCGGCTTCCGACTACTCGCTCACATGCTTAGGGTTTAGGGTTAAAGGTTTAGGTATTCAGAGCATTTCATGCCACTCCTGAAATTCTCGCGAATAGCCATGAGAGCCATGCGTCTTAATTTGTATTCAGTGGGTGCTCGCCAAGCCATCAGGGCACTACTCCTCCTGCTGGGAAACCCTACTTACATTCTGAAAGAGTACTCTGCAATAATCTGAATGAAACCTCTGAACTTCATTGTGCACATGACGGACATTGTGAGCTTGCACGCCTAGCGAGCAACATGAACAGTACACAAGCAACACCATCCCAAGAAAACTACATGCACGCCCTGTCCTCGTCCCTTCCGGCCCGGCCTCTACGTCCAGGCATGGCACGTAAGCCTTGCCATCATTGCAGCAGTCCCTGCAAGCGCTTGGCGATTCAAGCAGCTCCTCCCGGCGCAGGAGACGGTGTAGGGTTGCTTGGGATTTAGGGGTTTTGGGTTTAGGGCTTTCAGGCTTCTAGGAAGAAAGAGAGCTTGATGCTTAGACAGTCTTGCGACGTGCGTGAAGCAGCTTTGCGCTTGAGGCTGGCTTGCGGCTCGAGGCTTCATGAGCTACTAATACACACCCCAACACCCCCACCCCATCCACACCCCCCAACCCCACCCCCACCCCCCCACCCGCACCCCCCCACCAAATATGAAACACAGCGGGAGCTAAAACTCCAATCCTACCTGCTCGACCCGCTCCTGGTGGGCTACTGCTGCTCCTTCGGCTAGCACCTGGCAAACGCAGGTTTGCACCCCGTTGTGTTCGATCTTGATAGCATCGCCTTCAGCATACCAGAGTTCATCAGGCAGCACTTCATTGCGTGGCAGACGAAAACTTGGTGTGATTTATCATCAGGATGATCGCAGCAGTCCTGGCACTACAAGTATCTCTGGTGTGAGAAGCCAGAAGTCACATTGAGAACAAAAGCAAAACGACTCGTACTCACAAAAGTCTCAGAGATGGTCAAATTAAAATTACATCACATTACTAATCACAATATCTTCAACAGGCACGCAAAGCAGTGATGCCGACCGCATCGATCGCGACAGCAACAGCAACATCGATTGCTAACACCACAGCAAGAGCTGAAGCATTGGCGGGAGCAGAAGCAGCAGCAGAACTCGCAGCGTCGAGTGCTTAGAAGGCCGCTCTGCCCCGTGCCTCGTGGCGAATCAAGGACTGTCGCGGGCCAGCCCCGAGGGCAGTTGACCCCGGCAGGAGCCACAGAAATGCCCAAAAGCGGCGCATGATTCCTGCCCGCAAGACTAAATCAACAGCCCTTCGCTGTTTAGATGCGCGTTTTGTTGAAAAAGGAGAGCAGTGCCGAGGCTTCAGGAGCTGACGCTGAAGGCCAAGGCTGGCCCGGTGAGGCCTGCGGAGATCTCGAGGGGTCCCTGCAAACCTCCCATCTTCGACCCACACAGGATACCACTCGAAAAAACCCTCAGGATGCGACCGAGACACATTATGAAGGCTCCTGACTTAGGACGGGGTGCAGATGCTCGGCACCCTCGGGCACCAAAATGGCCGCGGCGAAGATGAGGCTCACAGCACATTCACTTCAAGCTCTCGATGTGGGCCTTTGACTTCTCGACCCTAAACGGTAAAGCAACGCTCACCAGGAACCCGGATTTGGCGTGATTCGCGCTGCTCTCTTCTCGTGAGACTGTGCCCCCCCAGGTAATCACAGGCAATGTTCCGAAGTCGAAACCCAAAAGCCAAAAGCCGGATCATCAGCACCCTGACCTCCATTCTTCGGACGGGAACGATCCCAAAACTTCTGCACGTCCCTTCGCATACACTGCCGAAGGGCTGGAAAGAAAAGAATCCCTGCTCCCTGAATCCCTTTAAACCATATAAGCTCCAGACGGCCCTAAACCCAAAGGGCAACAGAGCCAGCAGCTATTCTACGAAACACCCCGAAACCCTATTCTTATCACGAATGCCCCTAACATCTCAAAGATTCCCCCCGACTCCGCCATGGGTGCATGCCCAAAAACCCTAAAATGCCGGGACCCTGCCGCCTCCCGGGAGGCATCCTCCTCGGCGGAGAGCACATCGAAGCCGAGGCCCTGCAGCCTCTGGGCTTCCGCCTGACGCTTTAGTGTCCGTTGGGGCGGGGGACTTAGTAACTAGGGTTTTAATTAAGGTAGCTATACTTATAATTCCAATTAGGGTACTTATAACCTTACTTACTAAGTCCCATGATCCTCCAAGTAGGGTTTAGGCCGGGGTTTGGAGGCTTAAAATTTCGGGTCTTAGCAGGGCTTAAAGTTCAGGGCTGCGGCTTGGGGCTCAAGCTTCAGGTCTTTGTAGCGCTTAGAGTTTAGGGTTTAGGGTTTAGGGTTTAGGGTTTGGGCCTAGGGTTGAAGGCTTGGGGCTCAGGGTTTGGGGTTCAGGGATCGTTGATTGGCTTTTTCGGATGTGTCGATACGGCTGCTTATCTGGGCTCGTACAGATCTACTAGGGTGTTATTGGGATGTTGCGCGAGGTGAAGGACCACACAAATGTTGCCAATGGTTCATGTTTAGAACTAGAATCATGATAACCTCGCTGAGCTCGACCTGTAACCACTCGCGACTGATTGGCGTTTAAGCTCCTGGCTTGAATCTACGATAAGAGCCACGGGTTAGGTGTAAGGACAGGATTCGTGTTCTTGTGTAGGCGACTCCTGGATTCGTGCAAGACCAACTTCTTGCGACTTCGAAGCAAAGGTGAGCGAAACGAAGGAACGGTTTGCTGCTGTCAGTTTTGCAATGGTAATGGCTCGCCAAGAACATGTCAAATGGATTCAAACTGAAAAAGCAATCCGTCGAATCTCAAGGACCCACAAAACTGCACTGCACTCCCATCAAGTTTATGTCAATTTGATGCCATTCACCCAGACACCTGTAAAACTCAAGCATTGGAAATCTCAAGGCTCATTTCAAAAGAGTCACTGCCTGAAGCCAGGCACGTACACACACACACAGTCATCTGTACATGTGCATATACAAACAGCAAGACACAGAGAGGAAGAGAGCAGCGATCTTCGAATCGGTACAATAAATGCACAAAAGACTGCGCAGGCTTGGAACCACCATGTCAAGTTCATCAAGATCTGCGAATAAGTCTCGAGCCTCCACGAAGCTGGCGATGGAGTCGCTCAGTTCTGAGAAGTTCTTCTCCTGTCACTCAGATCTGGCGCCCATGAATCCTTACCAGTGCTCGTACCAGCACCTGTGTTTTTTGCTTCTGGCTGTCAATGTCACCCTGATGTTCCTATGAACGGGAGCCGATAGTTCGGCCACTTGTCTGAGTACGGCTCTTGTCTATACTATCAGCCTCGATGAACGAGAACCTAGAGTGTCTCTGGAGGTTTCTGTGAGCCCGTGAAGAGTCGGGGTTGCTGTGATTCCGATGGTTCCCAAACATTCAATCCCTGATCGCCACGACTACGCTGATTGTTTTGATGAGTTCCAATGCCACTCGCATCGCAGTTCTCGGATTCCGCGCTTTCCCTGCCGCAGCCACCCTAGCAAGCCGGGCAGAAGCACGCAGCAAGAACTGAACTTGTGCTAGCGATCTGTTTTTGAAAAACGGTTCCGACAAAAAGCAGCAGCAAAGAATGCAGACTGAACAACTGTGATAAAGCTGTGAGGCAAACCTGAGCAGCAAACACCAAAGCTGAGCAGCAAACGCCAAGAACGAACAAGAGTATAAAGAGCAGTGATGCTCACAGTTGCAGCGATGCTGGGTATACAGACTTGCATTTCTTGCAATACTGATGAATCCATCGTCATCGCAACCATTTTGGGAATGTGAGTGTGAATGACACAATACACCCCGCAATCTGCTGGACTCGAGAACCTACTGGATGAACATCCCTGACAGCTCCTTCCTTGCCAACTGCTTCGAAACGCATGAATGTATCATGCACACGACGGTTTACGGCCGAGGACCTTCATGATGATCTTGTCCCGCTGAGAAGCCAATTCGGTAGCGACAGCATCCAACCTCCACTCGCTGTGCGTGGACATCGTAGTCATCAGTGTCATCATAGCAGTAGTACTAGTAGTAGTAGTAGTAGTAGTAGTAGTAGTAGTAGTAGTAGTAGTAGTAGTAGTAGTAGTGGTAGTGGTAGTAGTGGTAGTAGTGGTAGTAGTAGTAGTAGTAGTAGTAGTAGTAGTAGCACTAGTAGTAGTAGTAGTAGTAGTAGTAGCAGTAGTAGTAGTAGTAGTAGAAGCAGGAGTAGTAGTAGTAGTAGTAGTAGTAGTAGTGGTGGTAGCAGTAGTAGCAGTAGAAGAAGTGGTGGTAGTAGTAGTAGCAGTGGTGGTAGTGGTAGTGGTAGTGGTAGTGGTAGTGGTAGTGGTAGTGGTCGTGGTCGTGGTCGTGGTCGTGGTCGTGGTCGTGGTCGTGGTCGTGGTCGTGGTCGTGGTCGTCGTGGTCGTGGTCGTGGTCGTGGTGGTCGTGGTCGTGGTCGTGGTCGTGGTCGTGGTCGTGGTCGTGGTCGTGGTCGTGGTCGTGGTCGTGGTAGGGGTAGGGGTAGGGGTAGGGGTAGGGGTAGGGGTAGGGGTAGGGGTAGGGGTAGTGGTAGTGGTCGTCGTGGTCGTGGTAGCACTAGTAGTAGTCGTCGTCGTAGTAGCAGTACTACTACTACTACTACTACTCCTGCTTCTACTGCTACTACTGCTACTACTACTACTTCTTCTACTACTACTACTACTGCTACTGCTACTAGTACGACTACTACTACTACTACTTCTTCTTCTGCTGCTGCTACTACTACTACGACTACTACTACGAGCGGTTGCTGTTGCTGTTGCTACTGTTGCTGTGATGCTAGCTGCACGATTACTTGCAAGCACTCGCAGTAGCAGAATTCTTTTTGGCAGCACTGGTACTTGTTCTCGTTAGTAATGGATCTAGAACTGGTATGAAGACTGTAGTACTAGTAACAGCTACAACCTGCTATGGCCGGCCAGAATATCGAAGATGAAAGAAGCCCAAACATTGCCCAAACCGTCCGATGAAGAATACTTGCATCAATGCCAATTATAGAAAGCGGCTGGCATGTTTGCGAGGAGATGAAGGTCTGCACGACCTGCGGCTGATGGCTCTAAGAAGACTCATGACACGGAATAGCTTTCTCTGCGCAAGGCGGATCCCAAGATATCCCCGGGCTGGGTATTTCGGCTTCATGTTTATACCTGCTCGAAAGTTGGCGTGCAGGGCGCATTGAACAGCCGCCGCGAACCTCATCGATTGTGACGTGGAGGCGCTGTATGTCCTGGTGTGGCTTGCACAGACGATGCTTGTAGCAGCGGTGAAGGGCTAGCTCAGCGCGCGCACACACACACACACACTGAGTGGGTCCTGCCGCCATGCATCCAAGTCCAATGAGCTCAACCTGCCACGACTCGGTCCGTCCGTTTTGTGCCGCAATGTTTGCCGGTACTTCGACAAAGATCTGCTACAACCCGAAAGTCATAATTGTTCGACATGTCTGCATGCCCAGTCATGACAACACGTTCTGCAACCAACAAGTTAACGCGGATACCAGACCCACCATCACAGGTAACGCATCGGTGTTCACTGATCTGTGCAGAGCCTCCTCATTGGATCGCTGCTGTTGCACTGCTACAGCATGGCTGAGACACGGGCAAAAAAAAGCCGAAACAAAATTCATGCACAGGAAATATACACAACTCTCGGACTGCACCATCAGTTGCTTTAGAATACATCTCACCACGCTGCAACTCAATGCTGAAGACTTGTCTGGCTTGCCGGTACACAGATAAGTGTGCCTGTGTACGAAATCATGCATGTATGTCAATTTATACCCTTGTCAGATGTGTAAGTACAGCTGCTCTCGCATCTGCTGCATTCACGTCTAACCCAGCCTTCGCTCACTGCACGCAGTTGGATCCAGCCATGGTTCCTGGTGACGGCGGAGCGCATTCTCATGAAAGTTACTCCGAACAGCTATGATAAACAATATCTGCCAAAGAAGCCCGACCTTGGTTCGCTCCATGTGAGCGGCAGCACAGGGCAGTGTCTCAATAGGTGTGCAGACCGCATGAAATCATACATTCGTGAAGTTTTGCTCAAACCGGGATTTGTAAACTTCTTGCGTTTCTGACAAATCCTAAGTCAAACAACTTCCAGCACTTGTGAATGCTCGTGTCATCTGCTGACCCAAACAGCTCAGGGGATTCATGTTCGAAAGCTGGCAGGCAAGCTGTCCTAACAAACCCGTTCTGTCCACAGGACGAAGCAATCAGGAATAAATCTTACTCTGGACAGTTACCGTGCACTGTGGTGACCCCTGTCCATTCTGTTTTACCCCTCGGGCAGCTGCATGCACGGCAGGCTGTCAAGATCAAGTCTTTGGCCCTGTGACCCTTTTTGCAACAAGGATGTCTCCTATGTTCTGAGCGATCTCGGCCTTGTACACATCCAGCACTTTCTGGAACGGGATCTGTTGCTTGCACATTGCCTGAAGCATGCAGCATGCAGCGATCACACCAGCGCAGACAGAAGCACGGATGCACAGACACGACCTTACTCAGAAGTTGCGAGTATGGCGCCGGCCGTACAACCGGATCGTGAACACGCCCTGACACTCATCACCCGCCCAGGAGAATGCGTGACGAGCAGGTGCCGTCAGGCGTCTAGGTAAATGCTTAAAGTCATGCGCCCCCACTTTGCAAGCGGGCTTCATAGCCAAGAGCGTCGCTTTCCATCTACGGGCTCGGAACCCACCAGACTTGTTTGCACAAGCCGGTCTGGAGTAAATCCGTTCAGTGGAGTCAAAAGCTGTCTCAGGCGCGCCTAGATGCGGGGGCTCCCTCCTTAGATTTCAGTCGACGATGTACCTTAAGCTGTCCACCAGAGATTTGCTTGCATTTCCAAGCAACGGATAGGGCTGGATGGAAAATTCGGCGAAGCCTCAGCCAATGACCAAAACGCAGCACCACGCAATGAAGGCACAGGGCACGCCCGAAGTCGCCTAGCTAGCTCAAGTACTCTTGACTCGACACATAGGTTTACATAATATCTAGGCGCTGAAATGGATCCATCTGGTCGAACGATAGGGATGTCCACCTGTGCAAAGCTTGACAGGACTTCGAACTTAACATGAAAAGTCCGCAACCCTTTTCCTGCTGCCTGAGGCTGCGTGTTGCCTTTTGTCACTCAGGCTCTCTGCCCGCGACTTAATCAGTGAGAGCTTTCTCAAGTTAACACCTACGGCCAAGAAACCCAACCTCGACATCACGTTGTAAAAACTATTGTAAAACATCGCGGGTGCCTTCAGCATGCTGGAGCGGTCGGGGCCGACCTCAACGAGCCCGTCACGGGCAAAGTCAAATGTTTCAACAAGACGGGATGCCAACGAAGTCTTCTGACGTCTAACGAGTAGATGACCTATGCTGGTGCTGTCATACAGCACTTCAAGCAAGCATACATCGCAAGGTGCAGCGTCGAAAACTAGCTCACGAAAGCGTAGCCTGTCTTTTCCAAGCTGATACAAGTAGTTACAAGTGCGTCTGTTCTATGTTGCCATGACCCGGCCAGGACTTCTCGGTGCTTCTACGCACTGAGATCTTCAGACCAGGTCAAGATTGTGGAACGTGAACCACCCGTGCCACGGGACAAGCGTCTGGGCGTTGAGGTCAATGTCCGCATAGCCTCGAGCGGTAAGCATGGCCCCATGCCTTTCTGCCCGAATTGCTGCGTCTACTTCTATGAGCTGGGCTTGGCAATTTACCATAGCCTCCAGTGTGCAGAAAGCAAACCAGCTCCTCATCGAGCCGAAGCAAATGTCATTGATAAGGACGCAAGTCATCGACTTGGCATTGCGCTCCTCCTGTGTGATGGCCCTGTTGATCCAAGACCACACTGGCGCCGTGAGATCGTGGACTGGCACTGTTATGGCCAGTTCTGCCCGCATGTTTGGGAACCAGACCGGAATGCCACCGCTTGCTGAAATCTTGCCGATGAAGGGGTAATACTTGATGCTGAGAATTGTATGGCAGCCATTCCAGCCAATGGCCTGGCCAAATTGCGCGACCGCCGCACCTGCAGCACCCCCCAGGCACATACTGGCACTGAAGTGTATGTGGAAGCTCGACAAGACATTGCCAGCGTTTTGGCAGTTCGTGATGGTGGCACCCAACGTTAGCGTGAAGGTGAGTTCGCAAGTGCCCTTGGGCCAGCCAAAGGAAATGGAACAGCTGCCAGAGAAGCATGTCGAGCTGGAACTTTTCACGAGTTTCGTTTGAATGCTCTTGAAAGTGTCAGCCACGTCGGCGCTGGCTGAAAGGCAAACGCCTCCGCTGCACATCGAGCATGACAAGGGCGGAGCGCAAGGACCTGGCAGGATCTTGCTTTCATTGGCATGGAGCTGGGTCCGCTTCCTTTGCAGGAGCTGCTCTTGAGCATGCTGCAGCTTCTGGGAAGCTCCCGCATAAGCATGCTGCAACTCAGCTGCATGCTTTGCCTCGCAGACCAACTCGGGCTGCTCCTCCACACAGAAGCAGTGCTTGTAGTCCGGCACATTGGTCATTTTTTCGCACTGCTCCAGCCTGGACAGCCCGTGGGTCGTCTGCCACTTCTTGGTCTGCAAATACTCCAACTGCGCACGCTTCTTGGGCGACAGCTCGGCAACGGCGGCGCCGCGGATGCCCCGCCGCAGGTCCTCCGCTGGGGACGCAAGGTGCCCAAACACTCCGTGCTGCTTCATGTGCTGCGTCAGCTGATGGCCCAGTTGGTTCTCGTCGGAGTGCAAGACCAAGAGCTGCTTCATACGATAGTTCATATCCTCTCGAAGATGCTGGCTCTTTTGGCTTAGGGCTGCAGACACCTGAGGCGTGCACTCTGCTGTATGGGTCAGCAATGCACCATGCTTTGCAAAAAAGTCCACTTCCATCACCTCGGACTGACACAGCTCCCATGCTACCATGGGAATTTCAATGGCAACTTTGGAAGCCGTCTCTGAGATGTTGCCGCCATTTGTTGGCGTGAGCAATTGCTTCTCGTCCCCAGCGATCTCAACTGCCTCGTCTCCATCGCCGCAGGCTGTGGCCATGTTCTCCAAGACCGTGGTAAACTCGTTGATGACGGCATCGGTGAGGTCCCTGCGGCTTATGGTGGCCATCAAGATCTCCCAAAAGTCCTTCAGGGCCCATGCAATGCCTTCTACGCACGTTATCTACAAGATCGTGCAAGCATATAAGAGCACACTGGTCTTTCTGGCAGCGGTCTCGACTGGAAGACTAAGCAAGCCTCATGTTCCATTTCGGAGTTTGGATGATTTTTGGTATTGCGCATCGTCAATACGCATACTCGAACTCTCAGACTCTCGGAGTCTGTGCTCGGAACATGTCATTGAGTCATGAATCGATTGCCAAAGCCCGTCCTTGCTCACTATGGCCAGAGCCGCTGAAGCAGCACCATCCTTCATGGCATCGAGGAGCACGGGATCAACTGGCGTTCCAAGGGAGGCTTGTTTCGCAGTGAGCTCATACACTAAGATGGTCTCGAGCTGCTTGGCCCGCTCAGTGTCCCCGCTCTGGTTCGCAAGCGTCATCGACTCGTTCAAGCATCCTGCAAGCTCCACGAGGAAGTCCTTCAACTCCTCATGGACTCCATCATCGATGAGGAACTCGCCCGCCGACTGCTGCGTGTGTTTTTGCAGCAAACCGCTACTCTGCGGGGGCTTCTCAGCTTCGCAGGCATCTTGGTCGCCACTGCCCCAAGCACCGGAAGCTGTCGAGACGCACTTGTCATACTTGTCTGCCATGGCCAGGGTTATTACCCACGCGGCCCACCCGGCACATGCACAGCCAAGTTTCCACATGTGGAAAGGCATCGGAAATCTTGCACGAGGTGTTCGTGCTCCGTGCTAGCAGTAAACTGTTGGAAGGTGATCCAAGAGCCCAAAGTGCTCAACAAGCGACACATACGACGAGCAACTCAAGTTGATCATGCAAGCACTATCAGTGGCTCTGCAGACCATGCGCGCTCTGATTCGCTGTTGGCCACGAGATTCTTGCCGTCAGGCCGCTCCCACCCAAGAAACAGGAATCTTGAGAAGCTCCTGGATCCTGCCAGAGTGCATCTTGGGTGTTTGGGTGTCTGCAGGCCCGCGCGTGCTTCGGGTGGGCAGTCCTCAAGACGTACTTCTTTGGATTGCTAGGCAGGTCGGCGAAGTCGGTGACCTTGGAGATGTCCTCGGACCAGCCTTGCATCTTCTTTAAAATCAGCGATGTTTGAGAGATGCACTTACATGATCCTGTACAAAAGTATTATCGCAGTGATGTACCCGAAAAGGATATTTAAAAATTTCGCAGTCCAATATATTCAAATGAATCCAGCTCAATATGAATAGGCGACTCTATAGAAAGAGTCGAGCTCGAGGCTCAATGGTATTTCTGGCGAAAATAAACTTGGCAGCACAGAAGGTCGCGCGCTCTTCGTTTTCTTTTCAGCGATCAGGGGTTTGAACGAATTCGGAATTCGGGAACCATGGCATCCGGGCCGCAGCCGATGCACAGAGCACGGGCTTGAAGCCGCTCAGAGTTTGTCCCGAACACACCCCCCACCACAGATGTCAGGGTCGGGCGGGCGGGGAAAAGTTTTAAAAGCACAGCTCGAGCAGTCACTTCGTCACAAACACAGACGTTCTCATCATGAAGATGCAATGGACATGCGTCAAAACTCTACAAGGCATGCGAAGTACTATTCTAGAAAAAAACACCAAAAAGGGGTAAAAGATAAATCGTTCAAAAGTACATCGCAAAAGAGGCGTGGACAATGTCAAACACGGCCTGAAGCCTGTCGCCGATTTCAAAGAAAGAAAAGGAAGAAAAGTCTGCAGGCAGAAAAGTTTCTTCTTTAAAATCAGCGATGTTTGTGCGTGGGGATTTGATCTTGATGATGTTCCTTGTCGTTCACCCCACAGAGCTGTATTGAGTACTGATGTGGTTGCCCTCTACAAACGCAATCACTGTCTCTCTCTCTTACTTCCACACGTAAGCTTCACTCCCCGTGCAGGCAGATCCAGAGCTCGCTTGTTTTGCACCGTCGCGGCCAGCGATGGATCGTCTGTGCTCGGGATGGCTCTGTCCCTCGGAAAGGTCACAGAAGACGATAGCTAGTTTAGCTAGAGCTTTGCTCATTCTTGAGCCAAAGTTGCATGGGCGGAAATATGGTAAGATGGTTCAGCATTGCGGCGTGCGTGGCACTTCCACAAGCCTACACCTAGAGATGAAGGACGCGTAGCGTGCCTTCACTCTTGACCTTTACATGGCCATGCTCACAGCTCTTATTGTGACGCCATAGAATTGGACTAGGCATCGCAGTCCGTTCGCACCCCCCATGAGTTGCGTCTCCGACGCTGCTCACCCGGAAGATGGGGCGATAGGAACACTAGGGATTAGTCCGCCGCAAGTTTGAAATATGGAATCGGAGCCTTGCATCCCAATTAGAAACATTGTGACACTCATCTACGTCAGTGACAATCCCCTACGAAGTGGGTGTCACCGAAGAAAGAGGCATTGCAATGAAATTCATGAGCGAAGCGCAGAGGTTTCATGCTGGATGGCATTGCCGATCACGTGTTGTCCCGCAACCATGTAGCCGCAGGATCTGATGGAGGATCAAGTTCCCAGGGCCTGAGATTTTCTTCTGGGTTCGATGCCCTTTCCTTTGGCTTTCCCCTTGTTTCTGCTCTTCCCCTTGGTTGTCGTGGTAAGTGTTGGAATTCCAACCTCCATGTCTTCCACCTCCTTGTGGGCGAGCTTTCGGGGCGGCTGTGGATGTTAGATGGATTCATTTTTTTTGGCTTGACTGGGCCTCGTCGACTACGGCTGTAGCACTCGGTCCCTACAAACAAGCGAAGCTAACACAAACTACAAACTACAAACTTCAAACTGGCAAAGCGGTGAGACAAAGAAGCGAAGCTCTACAAAGGGCTGCGGTGCACAGGCTTAGCCGGTGGTAGCCGTTCAGCACAACTACGGAGCCTCAGCGACCGGTTCGGAGCAACAAAGAGCCGTCGCTCTGAGCTGCCCAAAACAACAGGTGGAGCCAAGACCAGGCTCCGGCAGCCGTTCTAGTCTCGCCAGACAACGGACAGCCCCTGTGTTTTGTTCCGTCGCGATCGTGCACACCAAAATCCAAAAGTCCAAAGCCCACTGCACGCGTGAGCGGCTTCCAGACAGGAGCGCGATGGCCAGAGTCGCAGGAGAGCAACTCACAACCTGCCGGCGACGCACACCCACACCCAAGGACAAAACCAGTCGTTCCTGGAGTGCAAGGCGCAAGGGCGGCGCGGACGCCGGCGTCCAGCGACAACAAGTCGCCCGTCACAGCACGCAGGCGGCCGGGCAAGTGATGCAGACCGTAGGGAGCAAATTGTTGTGCGTCGAACCCAGAGCAGCGCAAGTCAGGGCTCCGCCCAAAAGGCAAAACCGTGACCAAGGTCACCCATTACGAGAGTGCCCACCGAACCTGGAAAGACTCAAGTGGTGGTGCGTAGCGCCCAGAGCAGGAATGGGAAGGAGGGTGAGGAGAACCTAAACGACGTATGTCGTCGGTTGCAACGGCTTCCACGGGGAAAAGCGACCTCAGCCAGATTGACCCGACTTGCCTCAAGAGGTCCGTCACAACCACCCAGACCCCCGGGTGCATCTATAAATTAGATCCACCAGCTAGTGTCTCTAAATTTTAGATCCATTCAAGAAATCGTCTCTATTTTTCTAAATGTGACTTGCCCGGTTCGGTGGCGAAATGTTGTTCTAAATGTGACTTGCCCGGTTCGGTGGCGAAATGTTGAGCATCATGCTCAGGTTTGTGTAAACTTGCTCTGGCCCGTTATGGGAGTTGAAACAAATGGCTCCGGATTGTGCCACGATGGCAACACTGTGTCTCACATCGCCTTCGAGAGTCAAAAAATTCAGGGTCCTGGGACTGAGGGTTTTGTTGTAGCTTCGAAACCTTGAAAACCCTCCAGGTTTTGGGCTCAGGTACTAGGTCATGTGCACAAGATTCGGATTTTATTTAGAATCCACGACCTTGCAGCACAAACTTTGTGTTAAGACTGCTTCGAATCTGCACATACATGTCTGCCATGGACGACGACCGTCGAATGCTTGAGTTTGAGCTCCCTTTGAGTGGCAATGATCGGCCCCAGGTTTTGGGCTCAGGTACTCGGGCATGTGCACAAGATTCGGATTTTATTTAGAATCCACGACCTTGCAGCACAAACTTTGTGTTAAGACTGCTTCGAATCTGCACATACATGTCGACTGCCATGGACGACGACCGTCGAATGCTTGAGTTTGAGCTCCCTTTGACTGGCAATGATCGGCCTTCGCTGCAAGAGCAAGCAAAGTCTGTCGAGCGACAACTCAGAAGAAGTGGTGCCGACAGAAAGCTTGCTCGCTATTTGGTTACAATGTGGGTCCGAAGCTTCGTCGATCAATTCCAGATCCTGGGCTTGCAATTGGCAATGTTTTCCATTTTTGCAGGTCTGCATGCATGCATATATATATATATCACACATAGCAAGCCAATTAAGGGAAGACACCTTGCGGGACCACTTGGAAGTGCTGATGTACACGATTGAGCTCCGACTTCCAGATCTGGCTCCCGATTCTTTGTCATACCGAAGCAAGCACACAGAGTATCAGTGGCTGCGAAAGCTCGAATTAGTTTAAACGAGAGTCGGTACCTGGGTGCAAGGGCTTTGTGAAAAGGATTGCATGCATGCATGTCTGTGCACTAACAGTTCGCATGCCTGGAGCCATAATGTTTAAACTCTTAAACCTGGAACGATTGCTGTTTCGGTTTTCAGGAGTACATTTTTGTGTTTCGCGAAGGGCCTTTCCGGACGGAATGGAGTGCCCTGTGTGCCAGAAGATGCAGAACAAGGCTCAGCGGCAGCCGGCTCAGTTGAAAGCCCGAGCAGCATGCTTGCCGGATGGGCGCAATTGTTGCAAGCAATGTGACCAGGATGGGGCCTGCATCACCCGCCCGATGCAGCAGCAAGTCAAGGCACTTTTGCAGTCCGTGTGCGAGCTCCGGATTCGGATGGATGATTTGGTGGCCGACCTCTCCGAGATTCTGATCCGGTTGCATGGGCAAGGCACTGCTGTTTTGGATGCGCAGCATGACAAATTCCATAAAAAACGTGCGAAGCAGGGCATCCGGGCGGTTGGCAACGACGTGCTCAAGTATGGGATGATGCTGTTGGCGCCAAAGGGCTGTGGAGGAAACTGGAATTACAAAAAATGGGTCGGCTGGACGCTTGATGGAGGCTGCACTCTACAAGTTTCTTCTTGTTAAAAACTCCCGGCAGGAGTTCCAGCTTATGAGGCTCGTGCAGTATTTCCTGGAAGACCTGCACGACTTGTGTGCGGTGGCAAGAATCGAGACGTTCCTGTCCTGGGAAGACTTGTCGGAGAGCTTGCAGGCGATCCTCACTGCGGAACCCCGGGACCCCGGCCCGGCCTTGTGTGATGCTGCAGCATCCGACGGCGACGATTGAACGGCTGTGAGGGCTTCCCGCGAAACTGTTTTGTCTTGTTTCTTCAGGTCTGTGCTCAGACTTGTAGCCTTGCTGCTCTGAGCTTGTGCTCAGACTTGTAGCCTTGCTGCTCTGAGCTTGTGGTCAGACTCGTAGCCTTGCTGCTCTGACCCTGTAGTGCTGAGGATCTTTCCGGACCTGTATAGGCAGTGCTGCCTCTGAATGCTGGATACCAGCCAAAGTTTGAAGTCGCCTGTGTTAAGTTTGCTGTATGCACCAGCCACTGTATATCAAGGGTTTCAGGGACTGACTGTGGGTAGTACACCAAAACATACACAGCGATCTTCTTATAATCCCAGCCGCAAGCAAAAAAGCTTGGTCTGGCTGGCTCGGAATTTTGAGCGGAGCAAGCCTCACCAATCACGATCAATGCTGGACAGTCCGATACGCCACGTCTCATAGGTCAGGGAATCGAACTGCACAGAGGCTTGTCGACTTTTCACCCTGTCAGCTTGCACACGTAGTCTCTGCCAAAAAGCCCGCCAAGAACTTTTGAGCTCGTCGACTTTTCAGCCTGTCAGCTTGTAGTCTCTGCCAGAAAGCCCATAATCGCAGTTCAGACTTCTGCAGTCCGCCGCCTCGCCTCAGTCAATTCGATCAACCCGAGGACAGATAGACTTCATGGGATTTCAAAGGTTTCAACCTCTGTGTTTGGGCCTTAGGGCTGCAAGTGCTTTGAGGCTTGGGGTGTTTAACCGGGTTTCAACACCTTGACGCTAAGACTCTCCTAGAAGTCAGGGTTTTGGGCCTGTGGTGCTTCAAGTCTCCTAGGGGTCCTTCAGTGCTGTAAGCTTCCTCGAGCCTTTTGGTGGGTTTTGGGCTTGAGCTTAATTTAGGGTTCAACCCGAGTTTTGAGGCCCCGCTGTTGTGTTGCAAGCTCCGAGGGTCACAAAACCAGGGGTCAAAGCTTCAGACTTGAGGGCTGTAGGAAGTCGCAATGAAGAGGCCTGCGAGCAAGCTTGCTCGGGGCCTCGAGATCTAGTGATGCCATGGACAAGTTGTGCGATGCCCTGCGACCCTGGGTGAAAGTTCCCTTCTTCATAAGCTATGGATCCGATAGGAAGCCTGGAAGCCTTTGTGCAGTATTTCGTTTGTCGATCCTGTCACTCTTCATTATCGATAGCATAACCTCAAAGTCTGATCCAGTTGATCGCTATACCTCATGCCCAGGAGCATGAAATCGAGAGACAAGGAGAAGCTGAAGGAGTACCTCCCGCACTTTAAAAAGGTTCAGGCCGTGGACCGCACATGGAACTTCTCGCACAGCACGATCACGGCAGCATTGCAGCAGATAGCTCGGGCTACTTGGCATAAAGCTGTAGAAGCATCAAACCGCATAATCCCAGGATTGCGAATTAACGATGTGTTGCCCAGGATGAGAAGTTGACGGTCTCGGCGACGTGGGCAGGGGCCTACGCTTTAAAGCTTTCTGCGGCCTTCCGACATGTAGCCCAGGATGCCCTGAGATGTCGCAGCTGGCTCCCCAAGGCCTCACAGGGCTTCAAAGTTTTTGTTGGGATTCAAGGTTTATCAAGGTCGAAGCCAGGGCTTTGCGGATTCTGCTCGAGATTCTGTGTGGCAGGATATGTGGAACTCTACACGAGAGAAGAGGAAGAAGAAGAAAAAGAAAAAGAAAGAGGGAGAGGAAGACGCCGATGGGAGTTCAAAAGAGGAGCAGGATACCCAGCAGACGCAGAGGACAGAGGAGACAATCGAGTCGCAGCTCGGGGATGCCGAGGAGGGAGAGGAGAATGAAGAGAATGAAGAGTATGAAGGGGATGAAGAGAATGAAGAGGAGGAAGAGATGGAGCATGACGAATGCACGGAGCCAGACAACGAAGCATGTTTGAAGCGGCCTGCAGCGGCTGCTTTGGAGAAACCAGATGCAAAGAAGACAAAAGTTGCAAATGAGACACTAGCTACAACAACAACGACGACAACAGTCATGGCAACAGCAGCTCCAACAAGGAGACACTTTTCCAAGGAGGCAGCAGCTCCAACAACAAAGAGCCACGTTGTCCAGGAGACAGCAGCTCCAACAACAAAGAGCCACGTTTTGCAGGAGACAGCAGCTCCAGCAACAAAGACGGCAGCCGCAAAGCAGACAGCACGAGCAAGCAAGAGACCTATGACCGCAGCCAAGTCGAAGCCAGAAGCAAAAGCCCAGAGCCAGCAGCAGAAGGCCCAGAAACCGTACGACTTTTTCGCAGACCCTTACATCAATAAGATAGCATGTTGGTTTCTTTTTCATTGAAATCGTGAACGCTTCTCGGGGGGATGCAGCGAATCAGAATCAGCCATGTGTGTCACTTCGGCTGAGGAAGCTTTTGCAAGCAGCGAAGTTCCTATGGGAGCTATGGAGTCCATCACCGCTTTTGCTGAGCAAGAAGGCCGAATCTGCGATTCAGATGTGCATCTACCCTAAACAATATACTCGGGTTTCTGACTTATGGGCCAATGTGCTGGTTTTCAACATGCCTGTCCTATCAGTTAACTTAGTGTCAAGAATACAAAGATGGGGATCGCAGGATTGCTGCTTCCGTATGAGCCGGAGATGACGCCGGAGCCGCTGAAAGCCAAGTCGCCGGATGATCGGGAGACTGAGCCGGGTGGCGAAGTCGCCGACGTCGCGACTCTTCCGGAGCCGCCTGCACTGGAGGATGTGTCCGCGAGTGTGATGAGAGATGAATACCAGCGAAAAGGAATTGCGACTTTGGAGCTGAACGGCAAGCCCGAGTATGAGTACGGCTTCGACAAGTCGCAAGGGCGAGCTTGGAGGATGAGAATCCTGGGGGGAAAGAAGCGGGGACCGACGGAGTGGTCAAACCTGCCATCCTTGGATGACAGAGGTCCTCACGCAGCCGTTCGCTGTTTCTTCGCCGACGGCGATATCTTTGAATCTGGCCTGGTGACCCAAGTTTCTTGTCGTCGTTTTATCCTCAAACATCAATCCAAGCTTTAGGCTCTCCTAAAGGTTACGGTTTGCGCATGGTTTGTTTTTAATTGTCTTGTTCCAGGAAACAATGCACCTTAACATAAATAAGCCCAAAGCCTTGAATCCGAAAAGAATACAACCTGGAACACAATCCTTGAGCCTTTACTTCATCAGTACTTGCTGAGGAGGATGTTCAGCATCGCATGACCAAGCACAAGTCTGATGGCAAGCAGCCGAAGGCACAGCCCCGAACTCGCAAAGCCCAAGCCCCTAACCCGTGAGTCTTCAAACCCTGACACCCCAACACCTCGAAACTTTGAATTTATGCTTGGCCAGGATGACCTCCAGGCTTCCAAGAAGGCGAAGCCCAGCGACCAGGAGCCGAAGGCACGTCCTGATTCTCTTGGGATACTGCAAAGAATCAGTCCAACACAGGAGCCCAAACCCTAAACCCCCAACTCCTTAAACCCTTCATCCTGAAGCCTTAACCCCAAACCAGGCCCTAACCCTTAAGACCCCCGCCAGCCCTTTCAGGATGTTGGTTCCAACCCGAACAAGAAGGGCACGGCTGTGGCATCCAAGGTGGCTGAGCCTTGAAACCCCAAACCCTGACGCCCTTAATCCTTAAAACCCCCAGCAGCCCTTTCAGGAGGGTGCTTCGGACTTGAAGAAGAAGGACACGACCGGGACACCCAAGAAGAAGGCCTTGCAAACCTTCAAACCCCAAACCCTCACGCCCCCGAATCCTTAACACCCTCATCCCCAAAGACCTACAGTCCTATATAGCCCCAAACCCTCAAGTCTTCATACTCCTTAGGCCTCCGAGCCCTTTCAGGATGATGCTTCGGACAAGAAGAACGACACGACTGGGGCATCCAAGCAGAAGGCCTTGCAAACCTTGAGCCCCCAAACCCTCACGCCCCTAATCCTTTTAATACCCCCATACCCAAACAGCTAAATCCTCTAGCCCCAAGCCCTTAAGTCTTCATAATCCTTATAAGCCTCGGAGCCCTTTCAGGATGGTGGTTTGGACCAGAAGAACGACACGGCTGGGGCATCCAATCAGAAGGCCTTGCAAACCTTGAGCCCCCAAACCCTCACGCCCCTAATCCTTTTAATACCCCCATACTCAAACACCTATAGTCCTGTAGCCCCAAACCCGTAAGTCTTCATAATCCTTATAAGCATCGGAACCCTTTCAGGATGGTGGTTCCGGCCAGAAGAACGACACGGCTGGGGGGGATGCAACCAAAAACCCCAAACCCCTAAGGCCCCACAACCCGTAAGACCACCAAGCCCTTAAAACCCCAAACCCTTAAGACCTCATATAATCCTCAAGCCCTATTGAGCCCTTTCAGGATGGTGGTTCCGACCAGAAGGATGACACGGCGAGGGCTGGGAAACCCGGAAGACCTCATAATCCTCAAGACCCCGAGCCCTTTCAGGATGGTGGTTCCGAGCAGATGAAGGACACGGCTGGGGCTATGGCATCCACGCAGGCCATACCCTTTTGGTTTCATATTCCTTAAGACCCCCAAACCCTTGAAACCCCAAACCCCTAAGGCCCCATAATCCTTAAGACCACGAAGCCCTTAAAACCCGAAGCCCTTAAGACCTCATAATCCTTAAGCCCTTGAACCTTCCAGGATCGTGGTTCGGAGCAGAAGAACGACACGGCTGGGGCTATGGCACCCACGCAGGCCATACTTTCAAAAGCCCTAGCCCTTAAGACATTCATAACCCTTAAGACCCCGATGGATGGTGGTTCCGATCAGAAGAACGACACGGCTGGGGCTATGGCATCCACGCAGGCCATACTTTCAA